TTGTCTATTTCTGGGGATTGAACCTAGGCCTTTGCACTTAGCTACACCCATAGCCTTTTTGTATTTTTAAGGTTTTTTTTGTTTGTTTGTTTTTTGTTTTTGTATTTTTAAGTTTTTATATTGAGATGGGGTTTCACTAAGTTGCGTAGACTATGCTCATACTTGTAATCCTGCCTTAGCCACCTACAGTGCTGGGATTAAGGAGTGACTTTCTTTGTCACATGCAAACTTACAGTGGTCTTGCGTGTGTCTAGTTTGGGTGCCCTGTTTCTGCTTCTGAACTGTGAGTTTCCTTTTTCTTCATATTGATTTGTTATCTTAGTTACTTTTCTCATTGCTGAGGAAAAAAACAAAAACAAAAACCTGACACCCCAAGTTAAAGGAGAAGATGTTTATGTAGTCCAGTTTGCAGAGGTTTCAGTTCATTGCTCCAGGGCAGGGTAACATGGCAGAGGGGCATTACAGAGGAGAAACAGTCCATGGCAGGTAGGGCAGGCAGAAGGCAGCAAGCAGCAAGCAACACAGCAGCTCTTTCTGTCCCTTATATCTTATCTAGGCTGCCTTTTTAGGGCACACTGAGAATCATCCCAGCCTCACATGCTTGGTCCCAGTAGCACACACCCTAGATCCAGCTACCTACAGAAAGCCCCTCCTGTGACCACATGGGGCTTTGAAGGAACATCCGGATACAAACCATAGCACTTGTTCAGTAATGTGCTGTCCAGGTGTATGAAATGTCATGCAGTAGCTACTCTCGTTAACTGCTCCGTCAGAGGCACATGTTCTAGTTGGTTGTACTCTGATTTTTTTACATATTGTCACGTAATTCCCCATTGGTAGAGATTCTTATAGACAGTCTTTCCTAAGGCAGTTGTTCTTAGGAGTAAGTCCTAGACCTATGTATTTCTGCTCCCTTCCTTCCAGTTCAAGTTACTCTTCTGATGCTCTGGATTTTGAGACTGAGCACAGATTAGATCCTGTGTTTGATTCTCCAAGGATGTCTCGTCGTAGCTTGCGCCTGGTCACAGCAGCGTATAGCTCTGGGGACAGCCAGGCTATGGATGCACATTCCTGTGCCAGCGGCATGGCCTCCCTCAAGGACAGAGTCGCCAAGTGAGTACCATTTAACTTTGTTTTTGACTCCCAGTCCCAATTAAAACCAGTTTTGGGAACTTGTTTAGTCTGAAACTATGTTCTTCCTCCTGAACTTTTACGTATACATGTGTATTTATACATATGCACAAGTTCACCCTATAGTCATAGCTTTGCTATGAATAAAGGCAAAATGATTCTGCAGTATGTGTGGATGCCTGATGTTGAGCTTCTGCAGTGTATAGCCAGTATGCTGAAGCTCTTGAGAACTGGCTGACCACCAGGGAGACAGATGTACTCCAGGGGGCACCTTGTCTTTGTAATGAACACCTGCTAAATGTTGAAGGAGGAGGAATGATGGCAGGTCTTCACCTACAGCACAGATAGCCTCTGTTGTTAGTGATTTGTTTGTCAGGATACCTGCATGAATGGCTACATTCACAGGTTAGGTGCTCACTGGTGTCAAGTGCATTTCCCTCCGGACTCTTGAGTCCCAGAGGTATTCTTTGTACCTATCCTATACCAAGAAGGAACAGAGTTCAGTTTTTGTGACTCTGACATTTAGAGACAGGGAATGAAAATGACATGATTACTGTGTTAAGGTGGTTCTTTGGAGTAGGAACAGTGGATTGCTGGCACCTAGAGCTGGAATCATGGTTCCATCTGGACACCTATGTGTTTATTATCTAAAAAATTAGATTTCTTACCTTGTAAGCTTCAGATGCAGTAGTTTCATGACAGAGCTAAGAGTCTCAATGTCAGACCTACCAGGTTGTGCTGAGGTAAACAAGAGACCGTGAGGTTCTTCCCTAGTGAGAGGAGACCAGGGATATGCCTGCTTAGGTGGTAATTTGTCACTGTTTTTCCCACCACCAATTTCAGAAAAGCATTATAGGTTTAATTTATAATTTTAAAGAAATTTTTAGGTCATTTTTATTTTCAGGTTATTTTACATTTGAACCACTTTTGGGATATTGGCCACAAAATACTCTGTAGTTATCTTATGTTTATAGTTGTTATAGGCTGTTTTTAGACCCCAGTTTAGAAATTGTTTTGTAGCTTAATAGATGTTTTATTACAGGAGGAAAGGCATTAGAAAATGGTTTTTAAAATCGCACATTTATTCTCAGATACAGATTTTGTATTGGTAAAATGCAGTCATTTTGTATTGACTGGAAAGGGAAGGAAATTTGTTTCTTATTCCCTTCTCTCCAGAACAGTAAAACAACGCAAAAGTGCAAGCAAGCAGGCGTCTTTCAGCATCAACCATCTGTCAGGGAAGGCCACATCCTCCAGCATCAGCCAGGGCAGCTCTGGCAGTCTACAGGGCACTGTGCCTCCAAAGCCACATGTGCTGGATGAGACTCTGATTCGTGAGCAGACCAAAGTGAACCACTTCTGGGGTGAGTCACTAGGAGATGCGGACAGCTTGGCCCCGGCCTGGCTTTTCCTGTGTTTTAGAAAGGAGGCAGGGTGTGGCTGGGGGCTGGCTTACCATGTTCTTGTATGGGGAGCATCAGAGAGGGAGGTCAGATTTTCTTCACACTCAGGAAGGAAGGTCTTCATTGCTGCCCTGCATAACTAAGGTAAGGTTGTGCACTGTTGTGTGGAAGATTCAGTGATCAGATACATTTTTTTCTTTATTTTTTAAAATGTATTTGGTTGTTACAGGGTCTTCCTACACAGCTCAGACTCACAGTGATCCCCCTGTTTTCAGCCTCCCCAGCACTGGGATTACAGGTGTGCACCACCACACCTGAACCTTGCCCAGCTCCGCCTGCCCTGAGGTTGGGGCTGGCACAGCATGTGGTGCTGGGGATCAAACCGTGGTCCCTGAGCTTGCCTAAGCAGGTGCTTAGTCCACTGAGCTATCTTGCCGGACCCCTGATACTTTTCTAAATACATTTTTTCAGTACAGAGTATGAAAACCAGGGCCTGTATATACTAGGTGAACACTCTCGTCACTGAGTTATACTTTTAAAAAGTTTTATTTTGAGACAGTGCTGCTAAGTTGCCCAAGTTGGCCTTAAACTTAAGATCCTCCTGCTTCAGCCTCCTAAGCAGTTGGTACTGTATGGGCCACCTCACCAAGGTTTACACATTGCTTTTGTAAAATGTGTAAACAAAGACAGTGTAGAAATTCACCAGTGTATTTCTAGAAAGATGTGAACAGTGTGGCAGCCAGAGCATCTTTCTAAGTCTTGAGAATAGTGTGGGGAGTCGACTGAGAAGCAAGGTTAAGTGGCAGTGTCCTGACTGAAATCCCCGATATGTGATGCACATTTTCACAGGCACATATGGTGTCCTAAGGCTGAACAGGGAGTACAGAGCTGCTTGTTGAGTCCATTTATGTTTAGGCTGGTCCTTGCAAGGGAGTTGAGGGCCCAGATTATTCCAGAAATCTTGTGTGCTCCTTTGGGAGCACTGCTGCTAGTTAGGCACCATCTCCCACATGGGTACTGTGAGTGTCCTGGATGTCTGGCTCTCTGAACTTCTGCCTGCCTCTTGGGGGTAGAGTGTATGCTGTTGGGCAAGGGTTCCTTGGAGGCCATCTCTACGTCAAGCCAGCAGATGAGTTCTGCCTGTGTCTGCAGAGCTCTGCATCAGCTCCAGGCTCATTAGCAAATAAACATATCCTGTGCCTGGATGCCTGGATGCCTGGATGCTAACATGTCACCATAGCAACCTTTACTGTTTTGGGGTTTTTTTTGGGGGGGGGGAGATCTGTTCTGTTCAGCAACAAAAATATATATGTATTTTTCAGGTCTTGATGATGATGGAGATCTTAAAGGTAATTACTTGAGTCTTTTCTCCAGTATACTTTTCAGAATAGAAGTTGTAATTAGGTATCTGTAGATTGTGATAAACAGATTCTACTTTTTGGAAACTTCAGGTGGAAATAAAGCTGCCATTCAGGGAAATGGCGACCTGGCAGCAGACACAGCAGCCCGCAATGGGTACACCTGCAGAGATTGCAGCATGCTCTCAGAGCGCACAGATGTGCTCACTACCCACCCTGCCACCCATAAGCCTGCGTCAAGGATTTATTCCAGGGATAGGAATCTGAAACGTAAGTCTCTTGTCTTTAGAAAAAGTTTCAGTGCCCATATACATTTTTTTTTTTTTTTACAAAACAAATTTTGCAGACCTCTGTGTTTGTACTGTTTGTATTGGACTTGAACTTGAACTTAAAACTATCATCTAAGAGTTTACAAAAATACATGGTAAGTTAGGTTGTTTTACTTATCTTTCTTCGCCAGCATGCCTATTGTCTTTTTGCATTCTTTCACATCTGACTCACTGGGTGAACAATTGAAAGCAATCTTGTAAATGTGTGAATACTTATATATTTATCTTGCATTAAATCTTTCTCCAATAAGCACTGACTGCTACAGATGAAATGGAGAGGATGGCATGGAGTGGATGAAATTCTTTAATGGCTTTGGAGGTTCCTGGAGTTAGCTCTCTAGTTTGAAGAGACCTAAAGATGCCATGGTCTCTTCTGATACTGTGCAAAATTCTAGTCCTTGTTGTGAACTTCTTAAAGTGATATGCAATATAGATATTGGATTATCCTAATTCACCACTTGTGAGATGTAAGGAATTTAGTGAATCCATCCATACATAAAACTTTTGAATATCTAGCAGAGTGAGAGATTCACACTTCAAGGAAAACAATGAGTTCAAAACATCCATAGGAAATCTTAAGTCTAACTCTGAGGACAGATTACTAAAGGAAGATCAGGAGCTCAAGGATTGAAATTCCTAGCTCCAGACACACATAAAAATAAATTTCAAAGTATTTAATTGTACCCTGAGAGAGAATCTTCTCTTCTTAAGTCACGGGGTAAAGCATCGAGAAATTGAAACATAGGTCCTCATACTTCAGTTAGCTAAAATATAGCCTCAGTTTAATTCCTTTTTCTTTTTTTTTTCTGCGGAACCGGGGATTGAACTCAGGCCCTTGCGCTTGCCAGGCAAGTGCTTATTCTACTGAGCTATCTCCCCAGACCCTTAGCCTAAGGTTAAAGCTCAGTTTTGGAGGGTATCTGAAATAAAGGTAAAGCCACTGATCAGACAAACATGGGATCCCATAAGCTTGGATCAAGATATATGGGAGGATCTGACAAGGCTGAGGATGTTGATCTCTTAGATTCTAATAAGATTATTTTGTCAGGGGAAGATATTTCCCTACCCACAGTGGCAGGGGCATCTCCACTCCTACCCCCGTGGTGTTGGCCTCTCCTAGTACACCTGAGGAAACTAATCCTGTTTTGAATAAGCATGGTAATGCTCACCCTCCTCAGGACCCACACTTACCACCCACTTTGGCCTCTAAGCCTCTGACCAAGCTTAAATTGCAAAAGGTTAGTAAGGTACACATTGTGATCCACAAGGAGCTCTGCTAGTCTCTCAAAGAACTTCTCAAGTTGTCATAATTCGTATAAGCAGAGGCCTGATGAGCAGCTGTGGGAGTGGATTTTATGCATGTGGGATAATGGTAGCAGAGACATACACCTGCATCAGGTTGAGTTTGTCAATATGGGCCTGTTAAGCAAAGATTCTAAATTTAATGTTATAGCTCATAGAGTAAAAGTATTTATAAATAATTTTTGACTGGTTGGTAGAAATATGAATCAAAAGATGGCTTATGGTAAGTGAGTTAGAGATGTCTGATATTAGATGGTTTGCTGTTGATGAGGGGTATCAGAGGCTGAGGGAAATGGAAATGCTGTGTTGAATTTGTCATGTTAAACCTAATGCATCACACTGGGATGATTCAGAAAATGTATGCTTCACTAAAGCCTTGAGAAACAGATCTGGCATCCCTGGAGAGCCCTGTTTTCGATATGCTCTTGCTATATGCTTGTTCTTCTCTGCCAGACTTTATAGTGTGAACCATAGGTACTCAGTTGGGAGACTTGAGGGCAGTGGGTTTGATTGGCTCCAAGAGTGACAGGGGTCAAGGGACAGCACCTAATCACCAAAGACAGGATACATATACTTACAAAATTGACAGCAGAAAACAGAACAGTGATCAGAATGGTCTGTTACACGTGGACTTATGACATTGGCTAATTAGTCACAGTGTTTCCAAAAGTGAAATAGATGTGAAGCCTACAAAATTTTCACTAAATTTATATAGCTGAAAAAAATTGAAAGGCAGATGAATAGAAACCTACTTCAAATTGTAGTAATGGAATCATGGCCCTTCATCCAGCTCATGGATTTGAGTCAGTTTATAGACCCAGAATCCCTTGAATGAAGGGGAGGCCAGGTGCCCTTGAATAAGGACCCTGGTACACCACCAAAAATTTATATTATCATTAGTTGTTCTCCTGTCCTTCCCAAAAGGGATCTAAGGCCTTTTATTAGAGTAACTGTACACTGGGGGAAGGGAAATAGTCGGGCATTTTGAGGTTTATTGGACACTGGTTCTGACCTAACACAGATTCCAGGGAATCCAGAATGTCATTGTTACTCTCTAGTAAGAGTAGGGGCCTATGTAGGCCAGGTGATTAATGGAGTTTTAGCAAAGGTCCAATTCATAGTAGGTCCAATAATTCCTCAAGTACATCTGTAATCATTTCCCCTGTTTCAGAATGCATAATTGGAATAGAAATACTTAATACTTGGCAGAATCCTCATATTGGTTCTTTAATCTGTAGTTTGTAGTACGAGGGCTATTATGATTAGAAAGACATTATGAAATGAAAGCCATTAGAGTTGCCTTTGCCTAGTATAATAGTAAGCTAAAAACATTACTGCATCCCTGGAGACAGTGCAGAGATTACTGCCACTGTCAAGGACTTTAAGGATGCAGGGGTGGTGGTTCCAGTCACATCTCCATTTAATTCTCCCATTTGGCCTGTGCAGAAAATGGATGGGTCTCAGAGAATGATGGTAGATTACCATAAACTGAATCAAGTAGTGGCTGCAGTTGCACTGCTCTACCAGATGTGGTTTCCTTGTTTGAGGTGATTAACACATTTCCTAGTGCTCAGTATGCAGCGATTGATTTGGAAAATGCTTTCTTCTCCGTACCTATCTATAAGGCTTACCAGAAGCAATTCGCTTTCAGCTCACTTCACTGTCCTACCTCAGGATTGTCTTAACTCTCCAGTTCTGAGTCACAACTTAGTTTGCAAGGATTTATTTATTTATTTTTTGATCTTGATTGCCTTTCTCTCCAGCTAGGTATTAAAATGATCCATTTCATTGATGATAGTACATTGACTGGAGTAAGTGAGCAGGAGGTAGCAATCACTCTGGATTTGTTAATAAAGCTTTTTCAAGCCAGAGGATGGGAAATAAAGCCAACTAAAATTCAAAATCCTTCAGTGAAATCTAAGAGTCTGGTGGTGTGGGACATGTAGCAATATCCTGTCTAAAGTGAAAGATAAGTTGGTTCATCTGGCTCTCCTTACAACCAAAAAAGAGGCACAATCCCTAGTGGATTTTGGAAGCAACACATTCTGGATATAGGTGTTTTGCTCTGACCCATTTACTCAGTGACTCAGAAAGCTGTTAGTTTTGAGTGGAGCCCAGAACAAGAGTAGGTTCTGTAACAGGTCCAGGCTTCTGTGCAGGCTACTGGGACCATATGATCGAGCAGATCCAATGGTACTTGAAGCACACAGGGTCCAGATCCAATGGTACTTGAAGCCGGTAAGGATGTTGTTTGAAGTCTCTGGTGGGCCCCCCACTACTGAGCCATAATAGAAACTGAATTAATTCTCCATGAGATAACAGGTTACCATGTGACTTAAATTGCCCATCATGAGCTGAGTATTAATCTGATCCACTGAGTCATGACTTTGGGTATCCACAGTCCCTCATTAAATGGAAATGGTACATACGTGATTGAGCTAGAGCAGGTCCAGAAGGCACAAGTAAGTTACATAAAGAAGTTGCTCTGCTGGGGAGATAGCTCAGTGGCATAATCATTTTCCTGACAAGCACAAGGTCTTGTCCTGAGTTTGATCCTTGGTACAAAACAAAAAAGTTGCCCAGATGCTCATGGCTACTACTTCTGCTGTATTGCTATTTCCCAGGATGCACCTGTAGCTTCATGGGGTATACCATAAGTTAAGCTGTCAGGAAGAGAAGGGTAGAGCCTGATTTATGGATGGTTTTGCATGTTATACAAAAACTACCTGCAAGTGGATGGCAGTAGCATTATTCTCCTTTCCAGGACATCCTTAAAGAACAGTGGTGAAGGGAAATCTTTGTAGAACTTTGGGCAGTGTTCTGATAATACATTTTACTGGAAAGAAAAATGGCTGGATATGCTACTGTATATTGATTCTTGAGCTGTAGCTCATAGTCTGGGCAGATGGTCAGAAACTTGGAAATAAGACTGCAAAATTGGTGACAGGTATCTGGAAGACCTCTCTGGAAGGTATTTGGGGAAGAGGGATCTGGAGAGACCTCTCCATATTGGCAAGAAATGTAAAAATGTCTGTATCCCATGTAAACAGTCACTAAAAAGTGTCATCAGCAGAAGCAGGCAGGATAACCTATTCTGGAGATAACAGTCAACCTTTTTCTTCAGCCACCCTGCCACTGCCCAGTGGGGTCATGAATAGCAGGAGCCTTACAGCAGGGGTAGAGGTTATACGTGGGCTTGTCAACATCCACTCCTGTTTCACCGAAGCTGACCTGGCTAGAGTCACTACTGAATGCCCAGCATGCCAGCAAAAGAAACTAACACCAAGTCCCCATTGTAGCACCATTTCCCAGGGTGATCAGCCTATAACCTGGTGGCAGGTTGGCTATATTTTAAGCCACTTCCATCGTGAAAAGGGCTGTAGTTTATTTTTACTGGCACAGACACTTATTCTGGACATGGATTTACCTTCCCTACATGTAGTACATCTGCCAAAATTACCATCTGTGGACTTAGAGAATGTTTTATTCACTGCAATAGTATTGAATACATTTTATGGTCAAAAAAATGAGGCAGTGGGTTTATTCTCTTGGAATTCACCCATCTAGCCATGCTGTTTACCATCCAGATCTTTTGAAGACATAGTTACAGTGCCAGCTAGGTAGCAGTAACTTGCAGTGCTGAGGCAAGGTTCGTTCTTTCTTTTTCTTTTTCTTTTT